CATACTCACCAAGGATGATCTAAGTACTGCTGCTGCCTAAACAGAGTCCCTGCTAACCATCTGATTTAGGACCATCCCTGGAGGAAACCAACCAGCCACTTCTTGGCAAGTTGATTAAACTAGAACTCTTCCAAAACAAACTTGGAAAGGGCTCAATTCATTTAGTAGAAATTGATACATATTCTGGGTATAGATTTGATTTCGTTGCCTGCCATGTCTCAGTTAGCCCTACTACTTAAGAGTTCACATATCATCTGATCCATCGGCATTGGATCAACAGACCAAGGGACCCACTTTATAACAAAAGTATATACAGGCATATAACCAGGAGGTCCACTGGTCCTATCATATGTTACACCATCTTGAAACTGCCCCCTGATTGGTCAATATAAGAGCCAGCCTTTTGAAGATGCAGCTAAGTATAAGCTTAGAGGTGATACCCTGCAGGCTGGGGCACTATCCTTTAGAATGTGTCATACATCTTAAATGAATGACTGTAATATGGTACTGTGTCCCCAAGAGGCAGAATACATGCATCCAGAAACTAAGGGTTGGAAGTAAAAATATCCATGCTTACCATTACTCCCAGTGAACCATTTAGGGAATTTGTGCTTTCTGTCCCATTGACTCTAGACTCTGAGTTTCTAGAGGCCTTGGCTTCCAGGGGTAAGAATGCTTCCACCATGGTACATAGGAAGAGTCCTATTAAACTAAGATACACCTGCTGCATACTGCTGCCAACAGACCAGTAGGCAAACAAACAAAAATTCACTTGCCCAGCAGAGTAAATCTCTCCTTACTATCAGGAGGAGTCAGGGCTTCAGGGAGCAGGGAGAATACATTAGAACTCAAAAGTATACAGACTGAAAAGAACATGCCAACCAGGGGCTCAGTCTTCTCAAGCTATGTATTCCCTTAGGTCAGTGGAAGTGCTAGCAGAGGCTGAAAGCAATCCAGAATAGATAACAAAGGAAGATGATGACTATTAGACAGGACCACCAGAACATATGTCATAATTTGTCACACTAACTTCCCTTTTCTAAGTTTCTTCAGGAAAAGAGATCAACCAGAGTCCAAAAGGGGCTGTTTAAGGATGGGATAAAATTATTATACAGTAAGTAGATCTAAGCAGTGCAAGGGGTGAACTGTGTGTGCTGTGTGGGGCCACCCAAGTCACCCTTTAAAAAAAAAAAGACTATTTATTTTAGAGAAGGAAAGGGAGGGAAAAAGAGAGGGAGAGAAACATCAATGCGTGGTTGCCTCTCATGTGTCCCCTACTGGGGACCTGGCCCACAACCCAGGCAGGTGACCTAGACTGGGAATCCAACCAGTGACCCTTTGATTTGCAGGCCAGTACTCAATCCACTGAGTCACACCGGCCAGGGCCCAGGTCACCCTTTGAGGACTGTTCACTCACTCAGCAGATGGGATTGTCCCCAGAGGATCACAGCTGAGCCCTCTCACAGAAATTAACCTCAGCTTGAGAACTCTTCAAGGGATTGGCTGAGGTCTCTCTTGCTACTTTATTGTAGTTCACCTTCTCTTTCTGCCCAGTTCTGCTTCCTTTTCTTCCATTTGTGGTTCCCACACTCCCTCGCCAACCACCTGCACACAAATCTCAAACCTAAAAAACCTGAATGATAAAGAATGCATATTTAGAGATAAGAAAGTAACCAGAAAAAGAAACAGTTTACAAAGTTAAAAGTGATTTTCTTTAAGGAGAGGAATAGGGCTGAGGCAAGGTCAGGCAGGAGACTGTTGTTCCGTACCCTTCTGTTCTTCATTGTTTTTAACATGTTCATGTATTACTTCCATAATTGTTTTCATTTAAAATTTTAGAGAATTTGATACTGTCACTTCCCTATTTTGAACCCTTCAATTGCTTCCCACTGCCTTTACATTAACCCTTAATTAAGAATCTTTAGACTTCTGACCAAGATGGAGGCATAGGTAGACCCACTGTGCCTCTTCGCACAACCAAAATAAGGACAGCAACAATTTAGAAACAAGATAACAACCAGAACTGACAGAAAATTGAATTGTATGGAAATCGGACAACCAAGGAGTTAAAACAGACACATTCTTCCAGACTGGTAGGAAAGGTGGAGTTGGGCAGCTGGGCAGAGAGGTGTCATGGCACAAAAAGCAGTGGCACCCAGCACGCAAGGCACCCCAGGTGTGCAAGACCACAGTGGGCGGACACTGTGCACGCAGGCAGTGGCTGTCACACCCCAGGGTGGCAACAGGCAGACCCAGCGAGGCAGCAATTGTGAAGTGAGGCACTGCACACACAAGACAGCTGGCTGACCCGTCAGTCCCAGGGTCCCATCGCTGGGAAATAGAGTCTTGGGACACTGACTGAAAACACATGTGGGGTTGAGGCACCAGGAGAGATTCCCAGCCTCACAGGAGAGTTCATTGGAGAGACCCATAGGGTCCTAGAATGTGCACAAGCCCACCCACACTGGAATTAGCACCAGAAGGGCCCAGTTTGCTTGGGGGGAGTGGTGGAAGGGACTGAAATCTGGCAGAGGGTGGAGCAAGCACCATTGCTCCATCTTGGACCCCACCCCCACATACAGTGTCACAACCCAGCGACTTGGGTTGCCCCACCCTGGTGAACACCTAAGGCTCCAACCCTCATATGTAACAGGCGCTACAAGACAAAAAAAAAAAGACCCAAACGGAAGAATAGATCAAAGCTCCACAGCAAATACAACTAAGTGATCAAGAGATAGCCAACCTATCTCATGCACAGTTCAAAACACTGGTGATCAGGATGCTCACAGAAATGGTTGAATTTGGTTGAAAATTAGATGAAGAAATGAAGGCTACAATAAGTGAAATGAAGGAAAATACACAGGGAACCAATAGTAATGGGAAGAAAACTGGCACTCACATCAATGGAGTGGACCAGAAGGAAGAAGGAAACATCCAACCAGAAAAAAATGAAGAAACAAGAATTCAGAAAAATTAAGATGAAGAGAGGCTTAGGAACCTCCAGGACATCTTTAAATATTCCAACATCCGAATTATAGGGGTACCAGAAGGGAAAGAGGAAGAGCAACAAGTGGAAAAGTTATTTGAACAAATAATAAAGGAGAATTTCCCCAATCTGGCAAAGAAAATAGACTTCCAGGAAGTCCAGGAAGCTCAGAGAGTCCCAAAGAAGTTGAACCCAAGGAAGAACACACCAAGGCACATCATAATTACATTAGCCAAAGTAAAAATGAAGGAGAGAATCCTAGAAGCAGCAAGAGATAAGGAGACAGTCACCTACAAAGGAGTTCCCATCGGACTGTCAGCTGATTTCTCAAAAGAGACTTTACAGGCAAGAAGGGACTGGAAAGAAGTATTCCAAGTCATTAAAGGCAAGGACCTACATCCAAGATTTCTCTATCCAGCAAAGCTTTCATTTAGAATGGAAGGGCAGATAAAGTGCTTCTCAGATAAGGTCAAGTTAAAGGAGTTCATCATCACCAAGCCCTTATTATATGAAATGTTAAAGGGACTTATCTAAGAAAAAGATTAAAAAAACGTGTATAGTAAAATGACAGCAAACTCACAATTATTAACAACCATACCTAAAACAAAAACTAAGCAAACAACTAGAACAGGCACAGAATCACAGAAATGGAGATCACATGGAGGGTTAGCAACAGAGGAGTGGGAGGAAGAGAGAGGGGGAAAAGGTACAGAGAATAAGTAGCATAGATCGTAGGTAGAAAATACACGGGGGAAGGGCAAGAATAGTATGGGAAATGTAGAAGCTAAAGAACTTATGACACATGAACATGAACTAAAGTGGGGGAATGTGGGTGGGAGAGGGTGTGCAGGGTGGAAGGGAATGAAGGAGGGAAATGGGACAACTGTATTAGTATAACCAATTAAATAGATTTTTTTAAAAAAAGAATCTTTAATGCCATCTGGCCCCAGCTGAGTTTCCTGTCCCATTTCTTGCCATTCCTCCTCACTCTCAGTAACCTGCCATCCTGGACATCCAGTTTCTTGAATGGACCTCTCTTCCTCATCTAAGCATCAAACATGCTGCTCCCACTGACTGAAATATTTAACTTGTTTTTCCCCTCCCCCTAGTTTATTTCTAGTGATCCATCACATTTCAGCTTAGATGTCACGGTCTCAGGGAGATCTTCCCTACCCCCTGCACTATATTAGTTCCCTTTTATAACTCTGGCAGCATTTGTATGTCCTCCTTCTCAGTATCAATCTCCTGAAATAATCTGTTTAATGTCCACATTTCTTTTTATCCTCCACAAGGACTATCATGTTACTGCTATATTACTAGTAGCCAGCATATATTACAGCATAGAAGATATTAAATATTTACTAAATAAATGAATTTTGCCCAAATGTTTTATAGGATTCCAGCTTTGCAACAAGTTAGATAATTTGTCTGAGCCTCAGTTTGTTCAGTTATAAATGGGGATAAAAATAATACCTACCTTAAAAGGTTATTTTGAGGATTAAATGACATATATTGGTAAAGCCCTCAGCATAGTGCCTGGCACAGCATAAATATTTGATTAAAGCATTCTTAAATAATCAAGATAGACTGTATCAGTTTTCATTCAAGTCAGCAGATTTTGAGACTATCTTTACCCTTTCCAACATTGAATATTGCATTTTAAAATATTTTTTATAAATATTATAGGCAAAAAATAGTATCTCACAGTTTTAAGCCGACATGTATTTTTAAGCCAACAGATTTTGTTAATAAGATAGCTGCACCCTGTTGCTCCATGCTCACACCATAAAGTACTCCTCTCTTTTCCTTTCACAGCTTCTGCTAGAGAGGGAGTATTTGAGAAAGGGGCCCTCAGTGTGGAGGTGCACTGTGCAAGGCCTCAGCAGCTAAACTACATGTATTTCTCACCATACCTTCAGGCTCTGCAAGTCCTGTTTGTCCTATGAAAATATATGGGGGCCCAACTCCCCCCAGCCAACACAGGTGGCTGCTGCTGCCTCAAACGTTTCCAAGTGACGTTGAACCCTGCAGGCCCACAGGCCCCTCCACACTTCCTGTGTGGGGTTCAGAAATCCGCCTCCCCTCCCAGCCCTAGGTGCCTGCTTCGGAAAATGGTGAGTCTCCCTCTTACAAAGCCCCCTTTTTCATCCAAGTGTTGGAAGCAATGGCCACAGGGTCCTCATCTTCAGTAGGGGTTTTGAAAAAGTCTTTTGGTTTCTTTTTCAGAAGTAATAAGCCAACTGGCCTCCGCCATCTTAGGTTAAGTTAGAGTCCAGTGGAAAAAAAGATGCAGTCGGGGAATCTCTGGAGAGTTCTGGGACTCTGCCTCTTATCAGGTGAGTAAGATGGAATAAAAATGAGTGGTGTTTCTCCAGACTATGGCAAGGCTCACAGCCTAAGCTGGTGTTGCCCAGGGGAACCAAGGGCACTGTGGACTAGAAAATGTAACGAGCTGTTTCTGCAAGGCTAGCATGGGGAACTAGGGCTGAAGGCTAATGGAAAAGCAGGCCCCAAGGGCCTCAGAGACCTTTCAGGGCACAGCCAAAGAAAGGCAGTCAGGATGATTATATCTACAGAAAACAAAGTGATCTCTCAGCCTTCAAGAACGAGCTCTTTCTGTCAGTGAACTACCCAGCCTTTAAGAACTGATAAAAAATAGCCCCGGCCACGGTGTCCAGTTGGTTGGAGTGTCATCCCCTACACCAAAAAATTTGGGTTTGATCCCTAGTCAGGGCAGCAGGGCACATACCTAGCTGCAGGTTCAGTCCCTGGTTGGGACACATGCAAGAAGCAACCGATCGAGTTTCTCTCTCTCTCTCTCCGGCCCCCCCCACCCGCCACCACCACCCTCCCAAATCAATGGGCATATCCTTGAGTGAGGATTTAAAAAGGAATACCAAAGAAATTAGAAGAGTCAACCATTGCTCCTTATTGTGAGGAGACTATATAGTTGAACCCAAACTCTGCACAGGATGTAGCAAGCTTTGTGTGTAGGACAATAAAACACTTCCTAATTTTTAGTGCTTTTCAGTTAATCAAGATGTTCCATTAGTTTAGTCTTTTTTGAAGCAAGGTGGAGCAACTGATAAATAACCAAGAGCATTTCCAGTATCTCCTATAGGATAAATAAAATTTCTTTAAAAGATTCCATTTATTGAGTTCCAGATAACTACGTAAAAAAAATCTTTACAGGTGGTAACGAATTTAATCCTTACCTCCATCTTGTGAGATAAACATTGCTTCCCCTATTTTATAGATAAAGAAATTGATACTCAAAGAAGTTAAATAATTTGTTTACAATCACACGGTAAGTGCTAAAGCTGATTTTGGAAATTAGGACTACCTGTCTACAAGTCCTATGCTCTTAATAACTGTACTACAGGAGGCAGCTTGGCTTGCAATGGTTTTGTTTCAGAGCCCTAGGAAATGCTTCCCAGCTGGGGCTCCTATTAAAGCCACAGCCATGATATCTCCTCTTTCTGCTCCATCTTGAGTTTCTCAAGCTTACATGTACACACAAATCACCTGAGGATCTTGTTAAACTGCAGCTTCTGCTATAGTGGGTCTGCATTAAGGATTGTGATTCTGCATTTCTATAAGCTGGCAGGCTTATTAGTCTGCTACTTGTCCAGAAAACATGTTTGGATTGTCAAGGGGCAGGGTTCAGCTCCTGCAGAGAGTAGTCAGGCATTTTCTTAGAGGCCTATAATATCAATTATGCTTTAAAGAGAGAGAGAGAGAAAATGAATGAATGAATGAATGAATATAAAAGACCCAAGTTCTAAAGATTTGGCACCATGATTATGAGAATGTGCCCAGTATGCTATGGGTATTGGAGAGGGGCAGAGGGGTGCAGTCTCTAACACAGTGTAGAGGCTATTGGATTAAAGAGAGGTCCAGGTACACAGAAAACTTTCAGGCCAATCAAGGGAAACTTGTTCGGAATCCCAGTTATTACTGAGTGAGGGGATCTGAAGGGCCCAGTGGAAATGTGACCAGGCTCTTCAGTGCACAGGCTGCAACTGATGAGTAATCAGAGTTTCATATATTTTCATCTGTCTTAGTGCAAAACAAATGGAAAAACTGAAACATCAGACAAGCAGGCACCAAAGATGGAACAAGAACCCTAATGCTTGTACCCAACCAAGAGCTTGTGTTTCTTTCACAGAGACCAACTTTCAAAATGAAGATGTGGCTGCAAAATTTTGTTGCTATTTTTCCAGTCACCCAAAAAGCAGCCCCAGCTTTTTCTAACTTCTGTTTGTCAAATATCGTGTTTTCATGCTTAATACTAGAGGCTTTCTTGCTCTGTTTCATCCCAAATTGACCAGGAATTTGTGGTGCTGGAATGACTAATCTAGCAGTGTTTGGGCAGGACTTTAGGTATTCAGAAATGATCAGACAAGACCACAGCACTTTTTCTGCTTGAAATTTCAGGCACTCACAGATTTACTAACTCTTTTTTTCTTATTATTTATTTTCCAGTTGGTGCTTTTGGGCAAGAAGGTGAGATACACTTTGTTTCCTTTTTATGAAATTGGCCCCAAATTCTTTGTATTTATGAGGGGAGCTTTCTCTAGACCTCCCACAGAGCTTCCACAGAGACCAGTAAAAGGGGTTTCTATCGTTTTCTCCTTTACCTTTTCTTCATGAGTTTAGAGGTAGTTTTGTCTATAGCCAAGAATAGAGAAACAACAGAGGTCATAGGAAATAATGAGTTTTAACTATTCAAAAAGAAAAAAATTGAGACTATTGAGTTAAAAATGCCAACAGTTTTCTTTTGCTTGCACTTGATATTTGATGTGATATTTTGTAGACGGTATGTGGATTGAATGATGCAGCATTTGAGTGCGCATTCAGAAACTCATGTCCAAAAACACTGGATGTGTGCATATGTGCTCATGTGTGCACATGCATACGAGTGTGCCTGGCCTGGACTTAATTTCTCAATCATAGCTGTAGAATCAAAAAGAGTGTCCCAATATTGGAAGCCTCCTTATCTTTTGTGTTTAAAGATAGTCATGGTGCCAATCTACATTCTAGTGCACTTTCTAATTTGTAGTGTCCTTAGGATCCCCCTCTTTTTTTTTTGCCATGCAGCATACTTTAACGTTACATTCTTCACAAATGGTATATATCAAAAAGCACTGATATGTTTCAGAATGGCTCATCTCTTCTGCATGCTGTTGCCATTTAGAGGTGATTTTTGTTTAGTATTTGATTTATGTTCAATATAGATCTGTTTTAGTGCTTACTTTGGCAGCACATATACTAGATCTGTGTTTCCCAACTTTATTGAGATAAAATTGACATAATATGGTGTGTATATACATGTATATATGTGTATATATATATATTTGGTGTGTGTGTACATATATAATTATTATGTAGAATAATCATATGAAATTATATATGAAATATGTAACAGTGAAATGATTTAGAATTCATTTTTATAAATAGCAATCAGCTGTTTAATGTAGGATGTAGGGCCCAAAACAGCTTTTCATATACAGACATTAGGGAACTTAAAGAGCCATTGTTATCTAAAGGTTGAGGAAATAATCTTAACCCATGGGAGCAAGATCTGATCTTTGTTGCTGATAGAAGTATTGCTGACAGTTTCTTATTATTTTCTTTTCAGAGAATGAAGATAATGGTAAGAGGATTTTTGCCCTATACAACTTCTTTTCAAATGGTCATAGAGGACAATCATTGTAATAAACACTGAGAACCAGAACAATTAGAGGAAAAGCACAATTATCTTTCATTAGAACATGTATGTGAAGTGTCTATGTTTGTTTGTTGCTGTCATGTTTAATCATAGCTGAGTATGATAGGTATCCCTCAGTATATGTTCCAGGAAGAAGATACGTGTGGGTAAGGATTAAGGCCACCATGAGTTTTTTGTGTAAATCATGAGTTCATTTAAGGCAGAGGTGGTATCTTATTTACCTGGCCCAGTGCCTGGCACAGAACAGGTGCTCAATGAATATTTTTTAGTGAATAAATGATTGTAAACATGAATAAATCATTAATTCCCTCTCCTCAAGAAGCCAATGGTCTTGTGTGAGAGATAAAAAATTGGTAGTATAATGTATCACATGCTGTGATGTGGGTAGAGACAGAGCAAAATAAAATATAAAAAGAGAAGTGGTCAACTCTACAGAGAGTAGTTGAGGAAAGCTCCCCAAAGGAGGTGATTCTTGAGCCAAGTTTTTAAAATGAGCTTGTATTTTAAGGAGGAGGAGTATTTTAGGCAGAGGAGTTAAGGCTATGTAGTATGAGGTTAAGAGTCTAACTCTGAAGTTATACTACCATATCTGAATTATGGCTGAATTCATATCTGAATCCTTGCTCAGTTTCTTTGAATAATTTATTTAACTTCTCTGTTCCACAGAAACATCATGTGTAAAATGAAAATAATAATGCTACTTATTAGTAGCATTATTAGGATTGAATGAAAAATTCACCTAGAATATTATCTGACATATTGAAGGCAGTTAGTGAATTTTAGTTATTATTACATGGGAAGCATGCAGACTAGATAATAAGCATTAAAGTTTATTGAGCATGTATGTTGTAGGTATTGCTATAAATATTTTACCTGAATGTCCTATGCTAACATCCTTATTCTACAGATAAGAAAAGCAAGTTTAGAAAATAAATAGTCCGATCACAGAGATAAATGTAAATGTAGACTTAGCTGATACTGAAGCTCACATTCTCAAGCATTATAAAACACTGTCTCTGGATATGTGTAAAATTTTTCTGAGCATACATCCTATTTCTAAGCACAAAATTCTAGGCCCTTGTATGAGCATGTAAAAGTCTAAGCTCTGCTATTAAACTGTGCCAATAAAAGTTGTGGACAATTTTCTTTACATTTCCTTTTTCATCAAACACACCAAGCAGATGCCTATTTACTTTTAAATTCTTTCATTTATGATTTCTACTTAATAAGCATTTCTAAAAATATCAGTGCTGAAAAATTATTTCTAAGTCAAAATAATATTGACTATAAATTGTCATATACTCAACTCCCAATTATTAGCAGATGGATAAACCCGGAGAATGACTTGTTTACATTCCATATGATCTTAGCCACAGAGCTACTTGAGCAACTGGGTAAGAACTCACTTCTATTCTCCACTGTAGCAGAACCTTATGGAGGATAGGAAGGCATTCGCTAAAGTTTTTCTTAAGCATTGCTATGCCCCATCCATTTTTACTTTCATAATCCATTTAATTCCCACAGATACCTCGTGAGGCAGATGTTTTATCTCCATTTTCCAGATAAGAAACTGAGGCTTAGAAAAGTTAAATGACTTGCCCTTGGTCATACAATCAAAGGCAGATCTGGAATTCAAACACAGGACTTCTGACTCAGTCTAGCAATCTATCCCCAATAGCATACTATAGAAAAAAAAAAAAACAAAAGAGAGAAGGCTATCTCTGAGCACCACCACCTCTCCTCCTTTCCAGCTGTCATATTCAGGCTCAAACATAGCCTGGTGCTGTTCAGTGTCCCAACTCAAGTCTTCCAGGAAAAGAGGATGCACCCCAGCCCCATATACCTGGGGCAAAATTGCCTGCTATGGGGAATGTGGCTGGATCCCCAAATTCTATCATGGATTTCAGTTGTCCACACCAACAGTTCCTCCCTCTATCAAAAATAATTGAGAGATTATTATACTCAGCAAAGAAACTATTTAAATTGAAGCTGTTTTTTGTTAGAAGAGCCATTTCCTTAAGAAGTATATAGTGCTTCACATAATTTAAAGGCAATAACATAAATATGGTACAGAATAAGAAGAAAGATATTTGATCTCTTTTATGAAAGATGCTGTTAGTTTTCAGAAATAACTTCTGAATAATGAAAAATAGGTAAGCCCAAGAATCAGTGATACAAAAATATGAAAGCCTTTATCCCTGAGAAGGCTTTTCTGTATCTCTCTGGAATATGGTTCTTACTAATGCAAGAGGATAAGCTTGAAGACTTTTAGAACTTTTTAGCTTTAGGATTTGAAGATTTTTTGAGCTTTAGTGGATGTCAAAAAAAAACACATGCTGATATATTCTCAATTTGATGTATCTGAGTTGTTATCTTGTAAGCTTACCTCTTTGGGAATCCTTGGGGATAGTGGCCAGCCTACTTGAAAAATTTTACCTAAAATTTAAACTTAAACCAAGGTTATTTCCTTATACTCTTTCTTTTTTTCATTTTCAAGTAAATTTCCACATACTCTAAAAAGTAAGTTTATCATTCTTCTAGGTATTCCCTATCTGAGGATTCTCTGTTCTTGAGATTCTCTGAAAGAGAAGGAAGTGATTGAGAGAGATAATCTCAAGAACAGAGGTCCTCCTCACATTATAGTTTAGAAACACTGCAAATAGGGATTTTAACAGGTCTTTCTTTACTTCCATTCTCCCTTTCCCCAGTCCCCATGTCCATGCCTACACTTTAAAGTCACTCTCAAAAGGTCTTCTAGTCCCACTCTGGGTAACTTCTCTCCTACCTATTAGCAAGCAGAGTTCCCATTGACAAGAAAATTTGAGACCTAAAAGACAGATGATTTTTTACATTTGGTTGTTTCTTTTGTTACTAATTTTCCTCTCCTGAACTCTTAGTGGTTTCTTCTTCCAATTTCCCTTCTCTTCTATCTCATTCCTCAGCATATAAAATCTCCATCTCCGGAACTAGGGTAGAGCTGACATGCCCTAATAATCTTGAATATGAAGTAACAAATTGGAAGCACAATGGTGAACTAAAAAATCAACAAGGGAAACGCCTAATACAAGAAGATTTTTCAGAAATGAAACACAGTGGTTATTATCATTGCTACAGTACAAGCACCTCGGAGAAGTATCACAATTATCTCTACCTAAAAGCAAAAGGTAAGATAGGTCTCCAATGCAAGCACTACAAGACTCTTTAGGAAAAACCATTTCCAAAGGGTTTCTCAATTATTTCCCCTAACCCAACTCACAGTCCCCTGATATCTTTATGCCTCTCCTACACTCAATACAAGGACTCTCTGGGGCCACACAGCATCAGTGTTTTCTGAAATATTGACTAAATACCAATATGGGACTGTCTAGGTAAGCTCAGTCAGCACTTCATCTAAAACAGCTTCCCAAGAGACAAGATTGGATCATTTGCATTATAGCACTCCAGAATTATGGCATTAGGTACTTTACCCAGAGATAAATTCTTCAGAAGGATTTTCAAAAGAGACTCAAAACTACTCTAATAAAATGTCATAAGCTAAGGCATAAAAATAAATCTTAATGATAGTTAACATTTATTGAGTGCTTATTAAGTTTCAAGCACTATACCAAAGACTTGCCAGAGATTTTTTCCATGTAATCCTCTCAACAACTATATGAGTTAAGTACTATTTTATTCCCATTTTATAGATGCAGGAACAGAGTCTTTGAGGGCTGAAAACAAATTTCACAATTCTCACAGCTAGTAAGTAATAGAGCTAGAACTTAAACCCAGACTCTCTGATGCCAGAGCTTCTACCCATAACAGTCACACTTTGCTTATAGTTATTGAAAGGGAGGGCCCTACTCTTGCTATTGCCAGCATGTGAGTATTGAAAGGAAAATCACTTTCATTTGTTCCTTTCTCATCTCCAATGTCCTTTTGTCTTTCTTTCTTGGTGATTTTTCCTCTTCCCGCACACCCCCTCTCCCTTTCCCACTGCCCTCCAGTGTGTGAGAACTGCGTGGAAGTGGATCTGACAGCACTAGCTGCAATCATCATAGTTGACATCTGCATTACCCTGGGCTTGCTACTACTGGTGTATTACTGGAGCAAGAATAGAAAGGCCAAGGCCAAGCCTGTGACCAGAGGAGTAGGTGCTGGCAGCAGGCCCGGTGGTAAGAAACATGGAGTTGGGTGGGAGGAGATTCCCAGCCTGGGGCCGCATGGACAGCAAGTCCACAACTGGGTCAAGACAGCTTCTATGGAACATTCACTATGTTACCACAATCCCAACAGAGGGTTTCACATCTCAGATTACTCTTTCCTTCCCACCTTAGAAAAGTGTAAAAATGTTCAGTAACAGGATGGGCTTCCTCAAATGCCTGTTAATGTTCTAGAATAATCAGATTGTACCCCAGTCTGTGGTGAGAGAGACTTTGGGACATTAGTTTCTGCCTTTTCCTTTCCCTTACTCTATGAGAAAGGAAAATGTAGAACAACTTTGAACTGAAAAAAACCTACAGAATGATAAGAACAGTAGGTGGGGGCATTAGCAATGGAATGAAAAGAAATGAGAAAAGGTGGCTGAAATGGAAAAGGGAGACTTAGAGGAGAGAACAAATGGGTTTGCCATCCTCGATCTGGGTCTCATTGCCACAAGATTGGTTTTCCCACATGTAAACAACAAATCTTTCCCCTCCTTTTCTCTGCAGGACAAAACAAGGAGAGGCCACCACCTGTTCCCAATCCAGACTATGAGGTATTAAGGAATAGAGTGGGGAGACAGGGTCTTTCTGTGGAAGAAGGGGACAGGCAGGACTGCTCATCTAGCCTGCCAGACACCTTAAGCCCCCATTCAGGGCTCTAGGACAGTTCACCATGTGCCCACCTCTGCCTCCTTCATGGTAAAACAGGGCTATCTCAAGGCTGCCAGCCTCCACCACCACAAAGCAGGTGGGTGGTGGGGGCCGGGCGACACTCCACTTTCTCCAGCTTGCTTATTCATTAGCTGAGATATAGCCATGGGGAATAACACATATGTAAATTCTAATATGATCGACTCAGGACTGATGTGCCACCAGCATGCACTGGTACAGTCATACCAGTTGTTGAATTATTAAAATACTTCACTGATAAGAAACCCCAAGCTTCCCTGTCCCCAACACATACTGCTAAATGTCATAGCCACTCCCCACTGAACTGCCTCCTGATATGACAACTAAAGAGATAATGTCTGGCATAGCAGAAAACCATCCAGATTTTTCTGATTTGTTGCTGTGTGTATACTACAATTGTTAAATATTTTGAATATCATACTTGAATAAAGTCAACACATATTTATTGGGCACCAGCCAAGCATATAGTATTCACTTTCCCATGAGTGACTTTATTTAATTCTGACAAAAGCCCTGAAAAGTGGGTCTTTAGATTCCCATTTTTAATGTAGGAAAGTTGAGACCCACAGAAGGAGGTGACCAGATCAAGTCTATTATCAGTCAATGCCAAGTTAAGAGTTCCAACCTGCCTCCTGACTCCTAGTCCAAGGTTCCTTCCACTGCACTAAAACTAGATGGCTGCAGTCCCTAGGAACTACTGTCTGTCTTAGGAACTACTTCCTCCCATCCTGCTGACCAACTCCTCTATTCACCTCTAGCCCATCCGGAAAGGCCAAAGGGATCTGTATTCTGGACTGAATCAAAGAGGCACCTGACAGCTCCTGAGGACACCGCATCACCCATTGGCCCAGGCTTGGCTCCTTCCTCCCCAGGCACCCTGCTACTCCATTTCCTGGGCAAGTCTTGGATGCCACAGGAAAACTGTCCCTCTGCCTACTGTAGAACTAACTCACACCTGCAGCCTTGTTCCCTCCCTCTTTCCAGTCTTCCTTGCTGGAGCCTAGTCCTAGGGTATTGCTGCTTCATTGTTCTTTGAAATATCATTGCTACTCACCCCCTCACACCTGGCCTGCACTCTTGTCAAGATATTTATTTCTGCTACTCACCACACTGCCAATTCCTTTCTCTCCTAGTGGATGTTACTTCTCCCTTCAGTGCCCTCCTTTTCCTGCCTAAAAGTTGCCCCCAACCCTAACTGTTCCATCTACCTTTCTACTGTTGCAGCTCTCTATCGACCCTCTGTGGGAATACACTGCTGGGTGAATGTTGGCAGAGGTCTTGACCCCTGTCACAAACATTGGCCCAGAGCCAGCCCTTTGTTTTCTCTCCCCTGTCTGCACTGTAGGCTCCCCGGTGGTCATTTCCATCTCCATAAATGTGCTAGGCTCCTTGTCAGCTGGGAGAGAAAAGAAATAAAGTGTGTTTGGCTAAAAGAATTGCTGTCTCTCTTTTCTGGGAGGCCCTTAGAGGCTGCTTTATTTCCTGAAACAGCTTTGGTCCTCCCTTCCTTTGACTAAATTCTCAGCTGTGATCCCAAAGGCCAGTACTACCTGTTTTCACAGTGGGTAAGCCATTACCAGAAGCTCTCTTTAGAGAGGAGGCGTTAGGGAATAATTGAAAGAGAAAGAGATGGGATAATTAGTCTTTTGACTAAGTTCTCTTGGAGAAAAACATCAAGGGTAGTTGAGACTGATGTGTCCCTAACAACGTGGTCAGTTCAGAAAATGGATGAGGCAGAAACAGAGGCCTTAAAAGGCAGATGAGGGCAGCTGCTGAGAAGAGTGGAGGAACAAGGGGCTGAAGGCCAGGACATAGATTTCCACAAGCTGTACCACCAGCCAGGTGACCTTGGGCACATCACTTAACCTCTTAGTGCCTCTCTTTCCTCATCTGAAAATCAGATATGCTGAAAGGGTTAAATCAATTAATCCAGGTAAAGGGGTTCCCAGCACCTGGTTCCTAGTATGATCTAAAAAAAATAAATATCTGAGGTCAGATATTGTGTCTGTCTTATTTTCACAACTGCATTCCTACTGCCTAGAACAGAGCCTGGCAATCGTAGGGGCTCAATGTTGAATGAATGTGAAGAAACAGCTATATACAGTTTAATACCAAGTAGACGTCAGCATGAGTGATCATGATTTGGGGTGATACACACTACTATAACCAACTCCTTTGATAGGACTAATCAAGATGTGATTCACACCTTCTGTCTCAGCAACGGGTTTCATAGTTGATGAAGAGAACTAGGCACACTTCTATTCCAACTTCAAAATGTAAAAGAAAAACGTCTTTAATACTTGCTTGCTTTTTTCTTTTGCTGATTATGTTCCAATTAAAGATGAGACCATATAACCAGAGACACTGAAAGTAAGACAGTAACCAGAGGGGAGGTAGGAGGGGATAATGGGGGGAAGGGTTTTCAGGAACTACTATAAAGGACACATGGACAAAACCAAGGGGGAGGGTGGAAGCAAGGGAGGGAGGGGGGTTTGGCTGGGGTGAGGGGGAGTGGCAGGGGAGGGGGTGGAGGGGATGCAGACAACTGTAATTGAACAATAAAATAATTTAAATAAATATGTCAAACTTTACCAATAAAGTCTTTAATACAATCACTTTGATGTCAAAAAGGTATTTTTAATTATAAAAAGCAATCCAGAAAACAATTATAAAAACTTTTTTATATTTAAGTGTATTTTATTGATTATGCACTAAAAACTGGTTTTTATAAGACTAACTTTATTGTAAACGAACAGTTAAATTTCTATTAGAATTTTAGTAGAAGCTTTCATAATGAAGAATCTTCGTTATATGAAGAAAAGGAGAAAAGGGAAGGAAAGAAAGAGCTGCAGAGCTGGGGCTGGGGGAAATGGGGGAAGGAGTTGCCATCAAGCAGGCACCACTCCCTCTGCTATAAGAGGCAGCAACCTGCAGCCAGAAGCAGCTGCGGTTTAATAGCCAGGATGTGGGCTGTGGGTGGAGCGAGGCAAGAGAGATACAGCAGCAGCAGCCAAAGGCCAAATGTGGGAGGGCTTCTTCCTCAGTCTTCTAGGGCACACACTCAGTTTACAGAGAGGTGTCCAGAGCACTGAGGATCTGTCTTAGTCCAGCTCAAGCCAGCAGGCTCTCTTCTCTCCCATCTGCACTCAGAAACCTCCCTGCTGACCACAGAGCTATTTATGTATGTGACTAGGCCTGAAAAAGTAGCCCTCCACATACTATACACACTCAGCCTTGGGCTTGTGGCTACAGTTTCTATTTGATGATCCCTGTTGAAACACTGCTTCTTTTCCTGTAAGCACTCAATGCTTATGCTCACAAGGAGTCTCCATGATGTTGACCTTCACTAGCTACTAATCAGGCTGGCCCAAGGGTGGCAGTTTTGGACCAGGGTTGGCAGTTTTGTCCCAGGTATATTTGATGATGCCTGGTCAAGGGAAGATGTGGCTCAGCATGATAAAAGCAATAATAGCTAACATTTAGCGAGGATTTGCTATGCTCCAGAAATTATGCTTAGCACTTTACATGCGCTATCTCATTTAATCCTTATGACAGCTTGACAGGGTACATGTTGTTGCCCTTGTTTTACAGATGAAGATACAGGGACTCAGAGAAGTAATGTCATTTGCTTGTAAAGATATACAGTTAGTGAAGAACAGATCTGGAATTAGAAGCCAGGATTATCCAACTCCAATGAACAGTTTCTCAGGGCCAACTGTGATCATAAATAATGCTCTCCATTTTCCTGACTTAAGAGCTCTGTATGTAATTGTTTAGGTATTCTTCCAATGAGTGCTTTTCTAATCACTCATGTGGGAGACCAGCACTGTGCTAAGTGCTCAGGGGATACAAATAAACAGTTTCAGTCTTCCAGGAACTGGCAGTCATATAACAATGCCAGAGCATGCAGAAAGTTAAACAACAACAGAAGAACACATGTGATTATGCACCCATGAGCGCTACAGACAGTATTATAGGTGTTCTGAGAAGGAACTGAGAGAGCTGAAGGGGTCAGGGAAGCAACATGGATAAGGAGATACTTGATCTGGGCCTTAAAGGGAAGGATGGGTAGAATTTGAAGACAAAACAGAAAGCACTGTACTCACTAAATATGAAATAGATAACCTAGATAGTTCTATAACTATTAAATAAATTGAATTTATAGTTAAAAGCTTTCCACAAAAAAACTCCAGACCAAGATGGCTTCATTTGTGAAAGTTAGCAGGCATTTAAGAAAGAATTCCGATTCTATACAAATTCTTCCAGAAAACTGAAGAGGGACTATTTCTAACTCATTCTACGGAGACCAAACTTATCTTCTGTTATAGTTAATTTTATGTGTCAATTTGGCTAAGCCATAGTAACCAGACATTTAGTCAAACACATCTGGATGGTGTTCTGAAGGTGGGGTTTTTTTTTAGTTGAGATTAACATTTAAATCAGTAGACTTTTATTAAAACAGATTACTCTCTAGAATGTGGGTGAGCCTCATCCAATCAGTTGAAGGCCTTAAGAAAAAACAGAATGAGGTCTCTGAAAAAAAAAGGGAACTCTCTCTCTCTAGACTGCCTTTGAACTCAAGCTGAAACATTAACTATTCCCTGGGTCCCCAACCTGTCAGACCAGCAGATTTTGGAATTGCCAGCCTTCACAAATGCATGATCCAATTCCTTATGCATACTATTAGTTCTGTATCTGTGGGGAACACTGACTAATATGCCCTGATATCAAAACCAGATAAAGACATTACAAATAAACTGCAGACTAATATTCCTTATAAATAGATGCAAAAATTCCTCACAAAGTTTTAGCAAATTTAATCTAATAACATATTAAAAGAAGTATTACAATGACAAAAAAAAGTTTATTTCAGGAATGTAAGACTGGTTTAACAGACCAACCACCACTGTAATTTATCATGTAATACATTTGATGTAATTTATATGGTTTTCTAAGAAAGTAAAACCATATAAATATCTCAATGGATGCAAAAGAAGCATTTGACAATACTTTCCAACTATTTTTGCTAAAAATTCTCAACAAACTAGAAAGAGAAGGAAATGTGCTCAGCTTATTAAAAGGCATCTAAGAAAAACCTAGAGCCAACGTCACACTTAATGAAAAACAATACTTTTCCTCTAAGATCACAAACAAATCAAGAATGTCCTCTCTCCACTTCAGATGTTGTGCTGGAGGTTCTAGTCAGTACAATAAACCAAGAAACTGAAGTAAAACACATCCAGATTGGAAATGGAAAAGCTTAGGATGTCTTTATTCACAAACAACATGATCATCTATGTAGGATATCTAATGGGATCTACAAAAACAAAAAGCTACTAGAATGAGTAATTGAATTTAAGAAGTATTCAGGGTACAAGATCAATATACAAAAAGCAATTGTATTTCTATATACTATCAATAAACAATTGGAAATTGAGATTTTAAAAATACCATATACAGCCCTGGCTTGTGTGACTCAGTGAACTGAGCACTAGCCTGCAAACCAAAGGGTCACCAGTTTGATTCCCTGTCAGGCCATATGCCTGGGTTGCAGGCCAAGTCCCCATTTGGGGACATGCAAAAGGCAACTGACCAATGTATCTCTAAAGATGCTGTTTCTCTTCCTCTCTTTCTCCCTTCCTTCCCCTCTCTCTAAAAAATAAATAAATAAATAAAATCTTTTTAAAAATACCACATGCAATAACATCAAAAAATATAAAATACTTAAGAACAAATCTGAAAAAAGACATGTTCATGGATGGGAAGACTCCGTATCATTAAAATGTTGGCCCTGGCCAGGTAGCTTGGTTGGCTGGAGCATGATCCCAATATACCAAGGTTGAGGGTTCAGTCCTGGGTCAAGGCATACACAAGGATCAATCAATGAATGCATAAATAAGTGAAACAAAATTTGATGTTTCTCTCTCTCTCAGTCTCCATTCTTCTCTCTTTCAAATCGACTTTAAAAAAAATATCATTAAGATGTCAATTCTCCCCAAATTGTTCTATAAATTCAATGCATTCCTGATCAAAATCTCAGCACACATTTTGTAGTAAGAATTTAGAAGCCAATTTATATGGGAGTGAAAAGAAACTAGAATAGTCAAACTACTTTCTTTGAAAGTTTTATTCCCCTTCTGAGTGTTTACTCAATAGAAATAAAAGCATATGTCCACACAATGGCACATGTATAAATGTCCATAGCAACTTTATTTGTAATAGCCAAAACCAGGAAACAACCCAAAAGACTATCAACATGTAAATAAACAGCCATGTATATCCTCACAATGGACTACTACTAAAAAATCAAAAAAGAATGAACTATTGATAGATGCAACAAGGTGAATGAATCTCAAAATAATTATTCTGAGTGTAAGAAGCCAGACCAAGAATACATTATATTATTTCATTTATGTAAATTGTAGAAAAATGAAAACTAATCTGTAATAACAGAAAGCAGATCAGTGTGTTGCCTGGAGGGTAGGGGGGTAAGGTGAGAAAGGAGGGAGGGATTTCATGCAAAGGAGCACAAAGAAACTGTTCCAGATATTAAATATGTTCATTATCTTGATTGTGGTGACGTTCCACAAGTGTGTATATAACACCAAAATTTACCAAATTTTACACTTTAAATATATGTGGTTTATTCATGTCAGTTTACCTCAATAAATTTGCTTTTACAAGGTAGAGGGAGGGAGGGAGGGAGGGAGGGAGAGAGAGAACACAAATTTCCAGAAGTACTCAGATGGAGGGCAGTGTTTCTCAACCTTGGCTTCCCGTTAAAATCACTTTAAGTCCTAATGCCCCAAACCAATAAGTTTTGGACTCAGGAGGCAGACACCAATGCATTTAAAGATCCCCGGGAGATTCCAACATGCAGCCAATGTTGAAAACTGGTGAGAGATATGCAGGGGTATAATAGCATATGAAGAATAAAGGTAAAAGGAAGTATGCAGGACACAAGCATTGGTGTAATACATGACATGGAAGGGTTGCCCAAGGTGAAAGTAGGATCTATGGTTAGGAGGACTACAGTAGTAGGAATATAAAGGGTAGGAATAAATCATAACCATGAATGTAGCATGTGTTGTAAAGTGAAAGTTAAATCTGTCTACCAAAATTACAGTCTGTGTATATCTTGAAAAGACAGTGGGCAGAATCATTCAGATCTTTGGCTATGTTATTGTTCATTCTTTTCTTTTGGGGGGAAACCTGGTCTAGAAAAGGCCAACTCTCATTAAATGTTCCTGAAGTTCATTAAATTACTCTTACTCAGAAAATAAAAGGGGTTCCCACCTATGGTAGACAGAATAGGCATAAAGGGTACAAGACAGTAGGTGGTCTCAGTTCTTCCTCTAAACCAGAGATTCTCGGAATTGGGATTGTTTCAGAATCACCTAGGGACTACGTGCCGAGAATGGGGTCCAAGTGTCTGTATTCTTTTTTTTTTTAGATTTTATCTATTTATTTTTAAAGAGGAAACGGGGAGAGAGAGACACACACACACACACAGAGAAACATCAATGTGTGGTTGCTGGGGGCTGTGGCCTGCAACCCAGGCATGTGCCCTGACTGGGAATCGAACCTGCGACACTGGTTCGCAGCCCGCGCTCAGTCCACTGAGCTATGCCAGCCAGGGCAAGTGTCTGTATTCTTAATAAGTCCCTCAGGCTCCCAAAATTTCAGAACCAAAACTAGCCCACCAGCTAAAGAGGACATCTACTGAAAATATCCTAAGCCCCAACCCAGTCTCAAACTCCAGCTCTCCAAGTGAGTGAAAAGGAATGATGTGTTTTAATTGTTGAAAGGTTTCTGATGCTAGTTTATCACCCATGTAGAAGGCAGGGGTGGGGTAGGTTCTGGGGAAAGGTAGACAAATGGTACTTAAGGGGCCTAGGCTGAGACCTTCTCGCAGCTAGTGGCCTCACAGAGGTCAAAAAGCCAAGGCCAGCCCCTTAGCCGAAGGGGGACTTTCTCATACAAACATCTCTTGATAAGAAGTGAGTCCCAGGGCTCTTAATGTCCCTGCCACCTGCACTCATGATGTCATGGAAAGTTCTGTGTGACTGGGTCCCTGAACACCAAAGCCGCCCTCAGCTGTGGTGAGGAAGCCAACACTCAGAAAGGGTTGTAATAGAGCCTGACTAGAGGCAACAAGTAGCGGGGGGAGTGTGGTGGGACACATTCTGCACCCAGGGAATCCACCAGGTTAAAAACATCAGTGAGCCAGGATGTAGCAAGAGACTACCCATCACACTGTCCATGTGGGGCAGAGGAAGAGAAGCAAAGAATGAAGAGCGTATGTGTGCAGAGAGGCAAGGGCCCTGCCAGATCAGGATACATCCTATGCCTTGCCCCAGAACCTTGAAAAGTCCAGGCGCCTGCTGAGTGGGAGAAGACATCTTTATTGGCTGAGAAGGAGAGATGGTACAGTCAGTAACTGATGTTCCTATAAGCCATCAGTCTGAGGTTCACTTGTTCCGAGGCCAGTTTTCACCAAGACGACTGTACTGAGCATCATTCCGATCTCTGAGAGGCTAAGGAATAAGAAGGGGGAAGAGTCAGAACTCTCCTAGGGAAGACCCCCAGCAGGTCCCGGGCCTTTCCTGACCCTACCCCCAGTGATTTTCCCACTAAGACCCTTCATACATGGATATTACACCTAGTGCCAACTTCTCCTTCCCCACTCATTCCTTCCTTCCATTCTCATCTTTTTCTCCTCAGGACTCACCTGATAGAGTTGGTCATTCCTCAATAGAGCCTGAGTGTCAGCAGCTAGAAGAACCAGGGAAACAGAGTTATAAAGGTCATAGGAGGATGAGACAATGAGATCCCACGAACACCACAGGGAGACTGCAGCTGGTCACACCCTCAGAAGTCTGCATAAGCAATATGGGTGCACAAGTTCTTTCAATAATCAGTTGTAAAAATCCTTATGAGATGTCAAGAGTGAGTCCCACATGAGACACAACCCACTCTAGCCCTGTTCTTTAGTAGGTGCACATTCTCATCCACCCCACAACACACACACACATGCTCTGTTCCTTCCACTTACTCCTAGAAAGCCTTCCAGTCTCATGTCCAGCAAAGCAGTAGACTCCCAAAGCAAGGAGCAGAGTGGCAATGACATCAGTGACAATAATGCCTGCCAGGGTAGCTGAATCCAGCTCCACACAGTTCTGGCACACTGAGGGGGGGAGACAAGAGATGAGGTGGGGTATCTTTGAGATCAGTAAACCATCCCTGCCTCCCAGGGCAGCCCCAAGACTTCTCAAGCCAACACCTGAACTTAAGATCCTTGGAGAAAGGCCTACTCTTCATCCCAACAAATCCCTAGGGAGAGCCAAGAAGTAGTCTCAGCTTTGCAGGAAGTTCAACAAGGCAAGGCCAAATCCCTCTCCCAACAAGGCCCCTACTGTTCTTTCTAAATCCGTTAAGCTCTCTCCAACTCTGAGGGCCCCGATATCTGCTCATATCATTATAAGAGTGACCCCAGTTGGTTTAGAGAATAGATTGGTCCACCACAGCTCCCACCAGCAAGAAAGTTCTCAAATCCAGAGGACCCATCCACTCCCACCCAAAGGTTTAGGAGGCACATACTTCGATAATATACTTGCACGGTAAATGTTTTGAAGCTGTTTCCATCTGTCACATTGCATTCATACAATCCCCGTGGGTCCAGGGTACGTTTTCCCAAGTCCAGAATTGTATTGTCTGAAAATGATTTCCCCTTCATTCCACTTAGCCATGTGATGCCTCTATCACAATTCAAAATCACTTTGTCCTCAAATTCCTTCACAACTTTAAACTCACGGCTCACTGAGGGGGGAAAAAACACTATTGTAGCCACCTCTTTGGTCTGCCAAAGAGGTGGTTCTTTGGTTCTGAGGCTCATGCTTAAGAAGATCCACTTTACAACAACTACCAAGGGCCAATATGGTTGTGAGTATGAGAGAAGTTAGTATGAATTACCAGCCCAGTGAGTGGTCGAGAAGAAGACAAGGAAAATAGCATGTAAACATTTTTAGTTGTTCTACCCTTGCTTAAGGGGGTGGGGGTAGAAAAAAATTTTAAATATATTTTGTTGATTATGTATTACAGTTGTCTCATTCCCAGCCCCCTTTATTCCCCTCCACCCTGTACACCCCCTCCCACCCACATTCCCCCCTTTAGTTCATGTCCATGGGTCGTACATATAAGTTCTTTGACTTCTACATTTCCTATACGATGAAAAAAAATTATATCAAATCTATTCTTGGGGCTCCACACAAATCAAGTCTTGTGGGGAGTTTAAGGGCACCTTTCTAGATCCACTGAATTGCTTTGTTGGAGAGCATCTCCACATTGCAGAGGCACTGTGGAATCTATATTCTCCGTGAGCTTTATATACTCAGTTACCAGTTTGGATACAACAGTATCCTCTAGAAAACTACAATGCCTCTGAAGCAGGTCAGGAATATAGGTGTGTAAACTCAGAAAGACACAAGTACGTCAGATGCTCATGCCTTCCTTGGGAATCTGTTTCCAATGCAAACACTGAATGTCCCAAAGCAACTGACTCCTAGAGTAACCATTCACCCCAGTTTGACTGGGATTGAGGGGGTTCCTGAGATACAGGACTATCAGTTTTAAAACCAGGAAAACATAAATGAGCTGGTCATTCTCCTACCTCAAATCTGCCCTCCCTCATGCTCAACCTAAAGTTAATTTTTCTCTTAAAGCGTTCCCCTGAGTGCTGGGGCATGGCTCCATGAAGTGACATAATGATGACCTAATAACCAAGAGTCCTGAATCCCAGAAGCTACCTATCCTAAAAAAACAGTGGTCCCAATGTCAGCCCTAATTTCAGGCACACAGATACAAGCAATATCTCCTATTGATCTCTGGCCTAAGGCATTCAGAGAGATACTGAAGCCAAGATGTACCCCTAACTGGAATCTATCAAAGACAAGAGACTGTTTCCTATATCTGTCACTACATCCCAACCCTGCCCACCCTAACAACCCTGCCTAGTGAACTGAAGCCAGCACTGAGAAGAACTTTCAAGTGGACCTCACTCCCAGATCCTATCAGTTCCCCTGTCCAAGATGCTTCCACCCACCTGAAGAAGCCTTGCCTTGGGAGAGAAGTGCAGCCAGTATCAGACCAGCCAGAAACCTGCTGTGTTCCATCTTTCAACAGAACTCATGTAGTAGATAGACCCAGATCACAGAACTATCAGCCAGTGTGAGAGCTGCCCTCCCCTAACTGACTCACATACCGGAAAAAGGAAAGGGTGGGGGAGGAACAAGAAGACTCCTACTTCTCTGCTCTCTGCCATTGATGACGGAAGACTGTCAGGGTACAGTAGGCTGTGGGCGGGGTAGGAAGGAAGCAGGTGCCAAATGCTGTTCCTGAGCAGGGAGCTTAGGGTTGTAGTGAAAAGAAGAGCAGAGAATATGGAAAAGGTTGCCTAGAGTTCTGGGAAGTAAAAGGAGAATTAAAATGGTCGTTTCCTGAGTCACTGATGAAAAACAAAAAACTTCAGGGTTTCTGTGAACAACAAAACTTCATTTACTCACCACCTAAAAACTTCCACCTCTCAAAACTTGAGAGAAGCTGTAAGCCCCATCCCATACCAGCTGAGTTCCTCCCACTACTGGTCATTCTTGGGACCCTGGCCAATATCCTCCTTGAGCAGCTTGGGACAACAAACTAAGTAGTACTTACCAGGTGGAGGTTGGGCTTTAGAGCCCCCCAGCCAGAGATTTGAATCCTAGCTCCAGTACTACTGTCTACCCAATGGGCTGGGGCCAGTCACGGAATTTTTCAGAATCTAATTTCCTCACTATCATGATAACGTTTGGGTTCTTTTGCCTAATTTTATTTTTTAATTACAATTAACATTCAATATTATTTTAGTTTCAGGTGTACAGAATAGTAGTTAGACATTTGTATAACTTGCAAAATGATCCCCCTTCCCCAGTAAGTCTTGTACCCACCTAACACCATATATAGTTATTAGAATATTATTGACTATATTCCCTATGCTGTACTTTACACCCCCATGACTATTTTGTAAGTACCAATTTGTACTTCTTAATCCCTTCACCTTTTTCACCCATTCTCCCAACCCTCCTCCCATATGGCAACCATCAGTTTGTTTCTATTTTGTTTGTTTATTTAATCTGCTTTTAAGATTCTACATAAGTGAAATCATCCAGCATTTGTCTTTCTGTCTGACTCATTTCACCCAGCACAATATCCTCTTGGATCATCCATGTTGTAAATGGTAAGATTTTACTCTTTTTTATGATCTATAGTTATTGCCTTTTTATCAATTGATTTCTGATTGTTTTTATAGTTCTTCTCTGTTCCTTTCTTATTCTCATGCTCTCTCCTCTTGTATGTTGATGCCTTTCTATAGCATTGTGTTTGGATTCCTCTTTATTTTTTGTATTTCTGTTTGGTTGGTGGTTTCCATGTGCTTCATATATACCAAGTTATGTTTATAGGCATAAAAACTTTTTATGTCTACAACCATTTTGAGTTGATTGCTGAAGTTCAAACACATTCTAAAATCACTACCATTTTTACTCACTTCCTCCATATTTATGTTTTTACCATTATTGTTTCTTCCTTTGTGTGTTTGTGTGTATCTCTTAATTTACTATTGTAATTACACATGATCTTCCTAATTTTGCCTTTTAACCTTTGTACTTGCTTTAGTGTTGGTTGATTCGCTGCTTTTATTATGTGTTTGTCTTTTCAGTGAGATATTTTTCTTTGCAATATTTACTTATTCATATTTTTCATATACTTCTTCTTAAAGGGGTTTCTTTAACATTTCTTGTAATACTAGTTTGGTGGTGATGAACTCCTTCAGTTTTTTTCTAAGTTCTTTTATCTATCCTTCAATTCTAAATGACAGCATTGTTGGGTAGACCCTTGCTTTCATCATTTTGAAAATATTTTAGCATATTTTACGCTAATCCCTGTGGTCTGCAAAGTTTCTGTTGAGAAATCTGCTGCCAGTCATATAGCTCCCTGGAAGGTTACTAACTGCTTTTCTGTTGCTACTTTTAAGATTCTCTCTTTGTCTTTAACCTTTGGCATTTTAATTATGAAGTGTCTTTGTATGGGCCTCTTTGGGTTAATCTTGTTTGGGACTCTCTGTACTTCCTGGATTTGTATGTCTATTTCCTTCACCAATTAGGGAAGTTTTTCATTATTATTTTCCTCCAAGTGTATGTTTATTATACTTTTAATTACATTTTATTGATTATGCTATTACAGTTGTCGTGATTTTTCCCCTTTGCTTCCCTCCACCCAGCACCTCCCACTCCCTCAGACAATCCCCCCATCATTGCTCATGTCCCTGTGTCATGCATATAAGTTCTCTGGCTACTCCATTTCCTACACTGTGCTTTACATCCCCATGGGTATTCTGTGACTACCTTTTTGTACTTCTTAATTGCCTCAACTCTTCACCCATTCTCCCACACTCCCCTCCCATCTGGCAACCATCAAAACACTCTCCATATCCATGATTCTGTCTCTGTTCTTCTTGTTTGCTTAGTTTCTTTTTAGATGCAGTTGTTGGTACATATATATTTATTGTTCATAGTTTTGATCTTCTTTTTCTTAATAAGTCCCTTTAACATTTCCTATAATAATGGTTTGGTGATGATAAACTCCTTCAGTTTTTTCTTGTCTGAGGAAGTTTTTATCTCCCCTTAAATTCTAAATGATAGCCATGCTGAGCAGAGCAATCTTGTATGTAGGTCCCTGCTTTTCATGACTTTGAACACTTCTTGCCAATCTGTTATCACCTGCATAGTTTCTTTTGAGAAATCAGCTGACAGTCTTATGGTTGCTTCCTTGTAGGCAACTAACTTCTCTTCTCTTGTTGCTTTTAAGATTCTCTCTTTATCTTTAGCCTTTGGCATTTTAATTATTATGTGTCTTGGAGTAGGCCTCTTGGCATCCACTTTGTTTGGGACTCTGTGCTTTGTGGGCTTGCATTTTTATTTCCTTCACCAGGTTAGGGAAGTTTATGGTCATTATTTTTTTAAACAGGTTTTCAATCCCTTGCTGTTTCTCCTCTCTTTCTGGTACCCCTATGATGCAAATATTGTTATGTTTTATGTTGTCCCAAGGTCTCTTAAACTATCTTATCTAAAAAAAAACTATCTTGTCTTTAAAAATTATTTTTTTTGCCATTCTGATTAGGTATTCTCTACTACCTTATCTCCCAAATCTTGATTCAATCTTCTATTTCATCTAATTTGCTTTGGTGTGCTCTAATGTACTCCTTAATCATGATAATAATTTGAACAAAATGCTTGCATGATGCCTGACACATCATATGTACCCAATAAGAGATAGTTATTAATAACAATATGATTAACTTGTAGGCAGACTTGAGCCTTCCCAAAAGACAAATGGACATTTTCCCTCTGTAGCCAATGGGGATCTGAAACTCCCTACACTACCATAGTTGTACTATAATTTACCTGATGGCAGAGACTCATTTCTATATTTTCAACACCTGGCTTGTGCCTGGCACATAACAAGAGCTCCATACATTTCCACTGATTCACTGACTGACTGGCTGAGAGATACAAGGCCTGAGACCCTGGAAATGTATGACCTGTCTTTTTTTAAGGTATATTTTATTGATTATATTATTACAGTTGGCCCATTTTTTCTCTCCTTTATCCTCTTCTGCCCTGCAGCCCCCCTCCCGCCAGCATTCCCTTCCTCTTAGCTCATGTCCTGGGTCATACATATAAGTTCTTTGCCTTCTCCATTTCTTATACTATTCTTAACCCCTCCACTGTCTATTTTGTCACTACCAATTATGCTTCTTATTCCCTGTACTTTTCTCCCCCATTTTCCTCCCCTCCACTGATAACCCTCCATGTGATCTCTATTTCTGTGATTTCATTCCTGTTCTAGTTGTTTGCTTAGTTCATTTTTGTTTTTGTTTTTTAGGCTCAGTTGTTGATAGTTGTGACTTTCTTGTCATTTTACTGTTCATAGTTTTGATATATATATTTTTTCTAGATAAGTCCCTTTAACATTTCACAGAATAAGGGCTTGATGATGATGAACTCCTTTAACATTACCTTGTCTGGGAAGCACTTTATCTGCCCTTCCATTTTAAATGATAGCTTTGCTGGATAGAATAATCTTGGGTGTAGGTTCTTGCCTTGCATGACTTTGAATACTTCTTTCCAACCCCTTCTTGCATGCAAGGTTTCTTTGGAGAAATCAGCTGACAGCCTTAGGGGAACTCCTTTGTAGGTAACTGTCTCCTTTTCTCTTGCTGCTTCTAAGATTCTCCCCTTCTCTTTAATCTTGGCTAATGTAATTATGGTGTGCCTTGGTGTGTTCCTCCTTGGGTCCAACTTCTTTAGGGCTCTCTGAGCTTCCTGGACTTCCTGGAAGTCTATTTCCTTTGTCAGATTGGGAAAGTTTTCCTTCATTATTTGTTCAAATAAGTTTTCAACTTCTTGGTCTTCCCTTCTCCTTCTGGCATCTCTGATTTGGATATTGGAACATTTAAAGTTGTCTCAGAGGTTCCAAAGCCTCTCATAATTTTTCTGAACTCTTGTTTCTTCATTCTGTTCCAATTGGATGTTTATTTCTTCCTTTTGTTCCAAATTATTGATTTGAGTCTTGATTTTCTTCCCTCCACTGTTGGTCCCCTGTACATTTTGCTTTATATCTCTTTGTATGGCTTTCATTTCTTCCTTTATTTTGTGACTGTACTCAGTCATTTCTATGAGTATCCTGATTACTAGTGTTTTGAACTCTGTGTCTAATAAGTTGGCTCTCTCCTTGTCACTTTGTTCTTTTTCTGGAGCTTTGATCTATTCTTTCATTTCGGCCATATTTCTTTGTCTCAGAGCAGCTGTTACACAGTAAGGGGAGGAACCTTAGGTACTCACCAGGGCAGGGCCACCCACTTCACTGCGCTGTGACATTGTATGTAGGGGAGGGGTCAGAAAGGGAACAATGCGGCTTCCTTGGGTCTTGCCCTGCTTTCAGTCACTTCCCTGACTATCTTCAAGCAGATTGTGCCCTTTCAGGTGCTGGTTCCCATGTAGGTGGGCTTGTGTATGGTCTAGGCTCTGATGGGCCCCTCCAAAAGACTCTCCTGTGAGGCTGGGAGTTTCTCATGCCACCACAATCTCCCCAGATTTTTACAACCAGAGGTTTTGGGGCTTTATTTTCCCATGCTGGAATCCTCAGTTTCGCAGTCTTTCTCACTCCC